ACATGACAACTCAAGTTGCAAAGTGTCAAACACACGCTATGACAAGTGGGCTAGGCTTCTAGAAGGAGGATGGTGGCCCCACCAGTCATGGGGGGGTCAGCCGACCCCCCTATGGTGGCTAACCTGGCTCAACTTTCTTCCACCTGAGTTGGCCAGAGCCTAGGCCCCTGCTCGCCCCTAGTTTAGACATTGCACCTATCAACAATGGTTATGCATATCACTTAGTGTTGTTGTTACTCACACTACGTACCTTTGGACTATCGCCCTTAAGCAAAACAAGTTGGAACTCACAGCTTTACCCTTATCCTTTCATGGCTTTTGTTGGTGAGACACAACTCCAGCGCCCCATTCTTGCATTACAAACTGGCATCAATGGACGATAATTCAAATTACAATATATAGTTCTCTTCGACACACAAGTAACATGAAAACCACGTGTAAAATACACCAGAGCTGACTTGGTCAAGCAGCTGCCAACGCAAATGTACCGATTAAACAAATGATACATGGAACAAACGAAACAAGGTTGGAGCGTGCTCATTGCAAAAATTAGACACCAGCATTACTTCCATGGTGAGGATGAGATAAACATTGACTTTGAGGAAATATACCAATTATACCACCTAAAAGACCTTGACAAATCTCTGTAAGAGATTTATTTCTATAATTAACGTCTCTTGTTCATTGTCTATTCATCTACCCTACCCTATAATACATCAGTTAGAATAAATCTATAGCCACACAATAAATATCTGCTTCACAGTCATGACCTATGCTATATCCACACCCGTGAATGCACCCAGAAAATATAACATCATCAAAACGGACGCACCAAATTATCTCTTAGCCATTCTTTCTCATTACTCATCCAAATCCGATGACTCATGTTTAGTGTGTCCGCCCTCCATCGCTCTCCCGCGGACCTCCCACGCGCATGCGGCCAGCAGCGCTGCGAGCCAAAAACCCTAGCTGCCGCCTCCATATCCCGATTTCACAGGGAAGCGAGAGGGAGGGCCGCTCCGCCGCAGATGGAGCCCGTGGGGGTGTGCAAGGATGGGCGCTCGACCTCCCATCCGTGCGGTTCGTTCTTGCTCCGGGTGCGCCGCGAAGGCCATGGCGAAGGGCGGCGCTGCCACGGTCCTTGCCGTCCTAGCCGTGGCCGCGCTGCCCCAGCTGGAGCACCCAGCCAAGAACGACGGGTCGCTGAGCCTGCTCGTCGTCGGGGACTGGGGCCGCAAGGGGGAGTGCAACCAGTTCCGGGTCGCCGAGCAGGTAACAAGCATGTTCATCTCCCTCGGGCTCCGACCTCCTCCCATGTATGATCCGTTCCTGTTCGTCGGTGTAGAGAATATGTGGTCAGCAAATCAGGCGGGATAGGGAGCCTGGAATCCAGGAAATCAGGTGGCTGTTTTCCTATTGTTAGGCAGAAAATGCGTGGGAATGAAACTGTCTGGCAGGGTACAATAGATCGCCAGTTGACAGTTGTTCCATTAGATTTGTTTATTTATGCGTCGAGGCCTCGACGCCCTGCTCACAGTGGCGCGTGCTCGTGATTTTTTTATCCTGTTGCTGCGCATCTGTGGAAATGGACCAAAAGAAAAAACTCCCGGCAGTTGTGGATCTAGGATCTACGAATCACAGGGACAAGACAGAAGATTTTACTCAACAGACCAATCTGACGTGAAAATTTACCTCTGGGGACTGTAATAACTGGTAAGAGCAGTAGTAGTAATCAGCGAACTTCCTACAGATGGGAAGGGTCGGTGAGAAGCTCGACATCAACTTCGTGGTATCCACCGGGGTCAACTTCTAGGACACCGGGCTGACGGGCGTTGATGACGACGCGTTTGAGCAATCCTTCACGGACATCTACAGGGCGAACAGCTTACAGAAGCCGTGGTACCTAGGTAACTGAACCTGAAACTCGCGCTCTTCTATTACCAGTTCTATTCCTCTTGTATCGATGCGACGACGGAAAATACTCTTGTATTATATGTTCACTGAGGCTTCATTGTGCACGCGTGCGTTTTCAGTTCTGGGAAATCATGACTACAAGGGTGACGCACTAGCTCAGTTTAGTCCAGCTCTGTGGAAGATCGACAGCCGGTTTAATTTGCATGAGATCATTCATCGTGAATGCTGGTGCAAATTTACTTGTGATAGGACTGGTTTGGATACATGGTCGTTTCAGCATTAGACGTGGCTTTTACTCTCTCCAGCTTAGGATTGCCCCACTCTAGCTCCTACTAAGCCCTGCTGATATTTGAGACTACAGATTACTACTTTACAAATTAGTGTGCCAGGTACTATCCAATGAGAAGTGATGGTTTCGTAGCAAATTGATGTAACTCGTTGCATCTCATGATTTTCTGACTACAAGTGACATGCTACCTATTATCATGAACTGTTTCAGGGTTATAGAAGGTGCACAGTTAGTATATGATTTCAAACTTCTATAGAAATTAAGTTGTCGATTTCTTCAGAAGTACAAAAACACATTGCTTTTATTCAGAACTACAGCCTACTGTTCACAATCTTCCCTTTGTTGCTGCTATATTGGTTGCTTCAATAAATGATTATATTGTTATTTTGGTTAAGAAAACAGGGAACTGGAAATACTTATATCGCCATTAGGTGGTCTGAATGATCTACTACAGGATGTGTGATTCTAACATTATATCTACATGTCGTTACAGCATTAGGATGACTGATTATTTTTCATATACAAGTTTTGTATGCTTGTCATTGTATTCAAGAAAATGGTTATGCATTTCTCTGTTTAGAAAAATATGGAATGTGTATAAGATAAAAAGATTGTTGTACAAATACTCCTCATGTATTATTGGTTTAATTGTTGTCGGTTGATATTCTTTCTTGTTTCTCATAGTATGGTCTCTTTTGTGATAACATAAGAAGATGCACAGAAACATTATTTATGTTTGCTCAACTCCACCTGGGTTAATAACTGAAATCAAATTGCAGCATACTGCGTCGTCGCAATCGAGTCAGCTGGGCAGCAGATTCCTATGGTCTTCCTGGGGATGATCAAGGAGGACTTTAACAAGAGATATGCAGGGGGCAAAGCAGCAACAGCTACAGCCAACAGTCTTACCCGAGATTTCGAGTAACAGTTCTCATTCTTTGTCTGCAAGAACAAGAAATTTTTCAGACTTTCAGATGCATTTCCAATACTGTACAGTACCCTTTTTTTTATTCCTCACTGTGGGCATGCTTGGGGACTGGCAATACAGGTTGAGGCTTAGAGACCAGATGCAGTACTGTATTGATCACCCAGAGGAGGTGAGTAAGCTGTCCAAAGTGAAGGCTCAGGTCGAACAAGTGAAAAGCATCATGATGGAAAACATCGACAAAGCCGGCTCCCCAATTGTCTGGACCATCTCATGCTTGCTAGATGCAGAGAAGATTTTGGTAGAAAGGTGCTTCGCACACACCTTGCTGAACATTTGCCACAGCAATCACTGCCAGTCTGCCACCGAGACACTTATTTAGGCGACGATTGGTAGAAAATATACTTATTGTAGTTCTAATCCTTTGAGTGTGTCCTGGGAAGTTATCAATGTATTTCAAATGAGATTAGTGCTAATATATCTAACTCTATGTACGTTGTTGTTTTTAGTGAATCTTAAACATACCACATCTATGCTTTGTTACCGCATATATTATCTTTTAAATGTTTGATTTATACTACCGAAGGTCGCCGTAGCGTTAGCACGGAAAAAATATCATCGTTTGGTTGTTTTCATGTGCATCTCTGAAATGAAGCCGTAGCGTTAGCACGGGCACTATACTATATGCTTACTATATATTCTTTTGTACTATATGCAGAATGCAGATTATCAGCCAAAGAAGAAACACGATCTTTGACGTTGGTTTCATTGATCCATATCATACAAGAAGAAATAGTCAAGGGGTTTAACAAGAAACAGAGAATAAAATATTCAGCTCTTGAACAAACAACATGACAGGACAATGATACTTTTCCCTTACATCTTTAGATGAATGTTAGTGTCTTGTACACATTTTATTTTACTTACTCCATGTTGAGTATAATTAATGAGATATGTCTGCTTATAAACATGCATGCAGGTTCCACTGGATACCGTTGGTGATCCACCCTTACCCACTGTTCGTCTAAACGGCTGTTTAGCCCGCTTAAACACCGTGTAAACGCTACACGGTGGTGCTCCATTTTCATTTAATCGTTCGTTTACCCCGTTTAATTGTCCGTTTAGCCCGTTTAAGGGACTATTTAGCCCGAATAATGGCTAAACGGTAGGTGACCGACTGTTTACCGTTTAGCGTTTAGGAAAACATTGCCCTTACCCAAGTAGTGTACGTGTGTTTGACTCATTGAGGAAAGACAAAGAGGAGTACCAAGACATGATAGATATTCTCCAAAAGTAATTTCGGTCATCGCACTATACCTCTTTCGCCATTTTCTTGATATCAAGGAATAACTCCATTTATTTATTTTCTTGGGTAGTGCTTGGGTAATTAAGGTTCATTTCGAAAAATCCAGGTGAATGGAAGGCTCTTCTGCGTATAAACTACGACGTCCAGGTAAGTACTAGGTCCGTGCATCTTTATTTCATTTGTTTTCATTACTACCATGGTTGATTTTTTTTTGAAACTTACCATGCTTGATTATTTGATGAATTGTTTTCTCGTAAAGTGTCTGAGGTAGCCACCAGGGAACAATTTATGTGGAAGAAGGAATAGTTCCTACCAACGGAATGGCTCCAATTCAAGAGCAGTTGGTAGGATTTCTTCTTGAGGAGGTCGTATACAAAACTGGAGAATACTTCTATGATGGAAAAATACGTAACTACGGAACGGCTCAAAGTAATTAAGAGATACAAATTATTACTGCGTAACTACGGAGCAGTTTGTTCATGGAAACCAAGACTGTGTGAATAGCATCTCATAATTATTAATAAGGACGGAGAAGGCTCTAGCATGATGCATCAAGCAGCAGGCTATCACATAAGGGAGCAGGCGTTGGGGTTATCGTCGCTGAAGAGCGTGGCGAGGTGCTCCTCCTGGCCAGCCGCGGGCGCGACGATTTGTGCGTCCACCCTGCGGACGTGGCCCGGCGGCGCCCTCTTGTCGTACACCGGCGGCGCGACGTAGAGGTTGGTGTAGGGCACGTAGGGCCACAGCTCGACGCGCTTCCCCGTGGACTGGGCGCGCCTCAGCACCCGCTGCGCCTCCACGAACCCCTTCACCGTCACCTTCTGCTGCTTCCGGTTGATCTCCACCGACTCCACCCCTGCACCATGCAAAGTGCAACAGAGTGAAGCTGGCCGCCGGTCAATGCATGCATGGGGTCCAGATCAGAATAATATATTCGTAACAACAACGAATGAAGCAAATTTTGCGGTAGAGGATATAGAGAGAGATGCTATGTTAATTTGAATGCATGCATGAACTTTGATGATCTGCAGAACACGATATAGACGATACAGGTTCGTCCAGAATCGACCACTGACAAAATTTTCCATGCTGAGTGCTAACCTAAAGGACGTACATACGGCCGCCTGCCTAACGTTTCACCTGGGGACACCTCATCTTTAAGATTCGAGACTGACACTACTCCTGGCCTCCATTAGATCAGCATTAGGTCCGTTGCGTGTGTCGACATCCCAATATGGTTCTTCCAGGAATCACTACTGGAAATGGGATCTTTGCCGAGTGCAAAATGTTTTGTCGAGTGTCAAAAATTAGGCACTCAGACAAAGACCTTCTTCGCCGAGTGTCGCACTCGGCAAAGAATTGCACTCGGCAAAGAGTTCTTTGCCGAGTGCCGGATACTCGATAAAAAAAGGCTCTCGGCAAAGGACTTCTTTGCTGAGTGCCAGACTCTCGGTAAAAGCACGGCACTCGGCATAGGCTGCCCCGCGTAATGGTGTTTGGCCACGTCTTTCTTTACCGAGTGCCTGCTGTTAGGCACTCGGCAAAGAAGGTTTTTTTTTAAAAAAATTCTTTGCCGAGTGTCCCAGATCTGGCACTCGGCAAAGATTTTTTTCTTTGGAAAATACTTTGTCGAGTTCCCCCGATCTGGCACTCAGCAAAGGTTTTGTTTTTTTAAAAAAAAATTATTTGCCGAGTGTCCCAGATCTGGCACTCGGCAAAGATTTTTTTTTGAAAAATACTTTGCCGAGTGCCCCTGACACGGCGCTCGGCAAAGAATTTTTTTTTTCAAAATGTCTTTGCCGAGTGCCCCTGAGAAGGCACTCGGCAAAGAGGAAAATTTTTTAAAAAATTGAAAACCTTCTTTGCCGAGTGCCTTATTCTTAGCACTCGGCAAAGACCCTTTTTGTCGAGTGTCATCCCCCGGCACTCGGCAAGTACCTTAAAAGGGCTGCAAAAAAAATTTGCAGGCAAAAAAAAAATCTTTGCCGAGTGCGGGGATGGCACTCGGCAAAGGGGGTCTTTGCCGAGTGCCAAGAATAAGGCACTCGGCAAAGAGGGTTTTCAATTTTTTTAAAAATTTCCTCTTTGTCGAGTGCCTTCCCAGGGGCACTCGGCAAAGACATTTCGAAAAAAAATTCTTTGCCGAGCGCCGTATCAGGGGCACTCGACAAAGTATTTTCCAAAAAAAAATCTTTGCCGAGTGCCAGATCTCGGATACTCGGCAAAGATTTTTTTTAAAAAAAAAAACCTTTGCCGAGTGCCAGATCGGGAGCACTCGGCAAAGTATTGATTTAACCCCTGGGTCGGCCACGCACGGACACACGCACACACTTTCACGCACCACCGCTTCGCCACCGCCACCGCCACATCAGCTTCGTCGCTGCTTGCTGCCGCTGCCGCCATGCCTTCACGCCGCACCCTGCGTCCCGGCGTCTGTTGCGTTCGCTGTTCCGTGCCCTGCCTCGGCCTGCCCTACCTTGCCCGCCGTGGACGTGGACGTGCCGCCCGACACCGCCCAACCCGACCTCGTTCCCAACTCCGGCGACCCGACCCCGACCCCGACGCCGCCCGCCCTTACCCTCGACGCCCGTCATGTATGTGTCTCTCTTGTTGTTGTCGTGGTAGTGATAGTTGTAGTAGTATTAGTTGTACTAGTAGTGCTAGTGGTAGTAGTAGTATTAGAAGTAGTGGTAGTAGTAGTACAACTAGTGGTAGTAGTAGTAGTAGTAGAAGTAGTGGTAGTAGTAGTAGTAGAACTAGTGGTAGTAGTTGTAGCAATAGTGGTAGTAGTAGTAGTAGAACTAGTGGTAGTAGTAGTAGCAATAGTGGAAGTAGTAGTAGAAGTAGTGGTACTACTTGGATATATTCTTCTGCATGGATTGATATCCAAACTACATGGCTTCTCTTGAGACATATGTGCTTGTCGGCCATCGTGCCGTTGTTTTTTACAGGTTTTGGAAACCTCACCGTACAGGGGAGGTTCTGTTGATTTTTTTTAAATAACAGTATTTTGTTCCATTTTTGTAGAGAAGAGCCCATCGGAGCCGAGTCAGAGTTCCCATCGCCGTGCTGGTCTACCTGCATCACGTCGCCTCGCCACTGCACCAACCCGCCACGGCCCCGCTAGCCTAATTTCGCCGCCACCCTAGGTATAACCCCTCTTTCCGTATCATGGTCGTAGATCGCGTAACGTATCATGGTCGTAGATCGCGTAACCCAGTTAGGCGTCTCCCGTTCGAAAGAGATACGGTTGGAGGTATGCAGATCTTTGCATATCTATGACCGTATCTGTTTTGGATTGTCCATGTTTTTTGGACAGCCCGCAGATGCGTAGATGGGTTAGTTTCTATAGTCTGCTCCGGTCCGAGACAGAGTTTCGGCATCACCTCCCTGTTGTTCTCCGGATACGCACTCTTCTTTGGCATGACGTGTATCTGGAGAACAGCAGGGAGGTGCTGCTAAAATTCTATCTCGGATAGGAGTAGAGCATGGAAACTAACCTCATCTACGTATCCGCGGGTGGGATTAGGACCTATCCTCACCTATTAGATAGTAGGAACACCATGTAGATGCAATTGATGGTTACATTACTCGCTGATACATATGTTAGAGGATGGATGACCATCAGTGGATATACACGGGCCGGAGAAGTCAGAGTGATTACACCACGGAATGGATGAACAAGACCGATGCTTTCTTGAACAGTGCATTTGTTAAGGCTACTAAAGGACATTGCCTAGTTTTGTGTCCCTGCAACAAATGTGGAAACAGGAGAAGGGTAAACAAGGTGGAAATGGGTAAACATCTTGTGAAGAATGGATTTACGTTGGACTACACCCGGTGGGTCCACCATGGTGAAGCCCATCGTATGAGAGAGGAGGTGGTGAGACCACGGGTGGAGGCTTTTGATGCTGATGCCGGGGTAGCAGACATATTAGATGACTTTCACCAAGGACAGTTCGATGAGGGACGTGAGAAGGAGGAGATGGAGGCAGCCGCACAGGCGTTCTACGACATGATGGACTCGCATAGAAACCCCTTCACGATCGGTCAACGGTGTCTCAACTGGATGCCATTGGACGCTTAATGGGGTTGAAGTCCGAAAGTTAAACTTGAGTCGACCGGCTTCGATAAGATGTTGGCCGTGATTGGCACCCGCTCCGGAGGGCCACATTTCGCCAAAGAGCATGTACAAGTCACAAAAACTCCTTCGTGCACTTAAGATGCCGTATGAGCAGATACATGCTTGTCCGAAGGGGTGCGTCCTATTTAGGAAAGAACACGAGCATGCAAAGTTCTGTCCAAAGTATAAATCCTCCAGGTACCTGGAGGTAGACTCTGATGATGGCCAGAAGAGGCAACTTATGATCCCCGTGAAAATCCTACGGTACCTTCCGTTCCTACTGAGGATCCAACGGCTATACATGACCGAGGAATCCACGAAACAGATGACATGGCACAAAAATGGCAAACGGTACAATCCTGACAAGATGGTACATCCATCTGATGGTGAAGCTTGGATCCACTTTAATGACAAACATCGTGACAAAGCAGATGAGGCTCGTAATGTATGTGTCACGCTGGCAACAGATGGGTTCAATCCTTATGGAATGATGGCTGCTCCATACACATGTTGGCCCGTCTTCGTTATCCCCCTTAATCTCCCCCCCGGTGTCTCCTTTCAACGACATAACGTATTCTTGTTGTTGATAATTCCAGGACACCCAGGGAGAAATATGGGCGTGTTCATGGAGCCCGTGTTTGATGAATTGGTCCATGCTTGGGACGAAGGGGTATGGACATATGATTGAGCTACAAAGACAACCTTCAAAAATTCAAAATGCACGTTTGGTACCACTACTCCCTGCATGACTTCCTGGCGTATGGGATATTCTGCGCCTGGTGTATTCACGGGAAGTTCCCATGCCCAATATGCAAGGAAGATGTGATGTTCATTTGGTAGCAGAAGGGTGGCAAGTATTCGTCTTTCGACATACATTGTCAATTCCTACCTCTTGACCATCCATTCAGACAAGACATCAAGAACTGTATGAAAGGTGTCAAAGTGACAAACCCTGCACCGCGGATGATGATTGGTGCCGAGGTTCATGCTCAGATAGATGCTCTCGTGCCCAATGAAAAAGGTGGTTTTGTGGGATATGGTGAGCAACATATGTGGACTCATATCTCAGGCATGACGAGGCTCCCCTATTTCGATGACCTTCTTCTGCCACATAACATTAATGTAATGCACACTAAAAAGAATATCGCCAAGGCACTTTGGGCAACACTCATGGACACTGAAAAGTCTAAGGACAACCCTAAGGCTAGAGTGGACCTGGCAATGTTGTGCGATAGACCAAATCAAGAGATGCAGCCTCCTAGTCGTGGCAAGACCTAGAGAAGGCCTAAGGCCGATTTCATCTTGAAAAAGGGCCAAAGGAGGGAAGTACTTGAATGGATCAAGACGCTAATGTTCCCTGATGGGTATGCAGTGAATCTAAAGAGGGGAGTAAACTTAGGCACTCTGCGAGTCAATGGGATGAAGAGTCATGACTACCACATATGGATTGAGCGGCTTCTTCCGGTGATGGTTCGAGGCTATGTCCCGGAGCATGTCTGGCAAGTGCTGGCAGAGTTGAGCTACTTATTCCGCCAGCTTTGTGCCAAGGAGCTCTCTCGGACCATCATTGATGACTTGGAAAAAGCGGCACCCGTGTTGCTCTGTAAGTTGGAGAAGATCTTTCCACCCGGCTTCTTCTTGCCGATGCAGCATTTGATTATGCACCTCCCGTATGAGGCATGGATGGGGGCCCATGCAGAACCGTTGGTGCTATTCAATCGAGAGATGTCTGA